TTTTTTTTTTTTTTTTTAAGCAGAACACAGCTCCTCGACGTTTATGTAGCTATTAACTGAATATCAAAGAAAATAGTGAAAACTTAGCCCTTTTTTTTCAAATCACAACATCTGTAAAATAATATCAATATAACAGAGAATTCATCGACACGAAGCAGAAAGTGCGACGACTCAATGATGCTATTTGCTACTTGCAAAACAAAATTACGTGTTATAAGATTCTTCGAGCAACCAAGGCTCATTACTTCATTACCTTTATGCAATTTGACGTAAAATTGTATTATATTAAAGTTGATACAAAATTAAGTGCACTATCCAATACTTTCTTTCTCAGAACATTTCTTGAAATTTTCTAAAATCTTAAAAAATTATTCCATGCGTCAGTATACACAATATACACAATGTACAAATACTATGATCGTGTTTCGCTTGCAATAAATCGATTAATTGTTTTCTCATACGTACGTACTTGCATTTATCGCACAGTTTGACGCAAATATGATCAAAGAAACGACAATATTATGGTCAATGTATACGTAACTTAGAAAACGATTATCTCAGTTAGTCATCTTCAGATTAGACTCGAAAGCAAAAACTCTTTTGCTCTTTTGCTCTTAAACAAATATTTAACAGCACTGGTACGGGAAATCGGAAAAATTTAAGTTTCTTAAAAAATGAAATTTTTATCGTTAGATCAACAGCGTGGAAGAAACGTATCGCCTATCTCCTTGTGTAAATCGAGCTCGATAAATCTACAAACCGATCGATTGTCATTTTAATACTATAATTAATCGGTTTCATTCAGTAGGGCAACTTCTGGCAAAATTAATTTAAACTGGTACTTAACAAAACTGTGTACTATCTATATTTCAATTCCGTATCAGTTGTATGTGTTGCATAATCGAACGAGTATGATTGGTCATAGATATTTTGTAACATAAATTGCAAGCAATCGGTATCGAGGAATTATTTCACACGGCAATAAAATAAGTTTGACAAATTTTTCACAAATGTAAGAAATAGAAAAATTGCGAAAGAGAGCGTAATACTTGTATGTTGCGTATATGCATGGACTAATTTTTTAGATTCCAGACAGTGAATTTTCGAGAAATTATATTATAATATTTTCTGAAAAAGAAAGCGTTGGATGGTGCTCTTAATTTTGTATCATACAATTCTATCTATCTTTTAATAATATAACGTTAACTAACAATTTGTATCTTGTCGATTCATTCGAACTAATGTTATTTAATAAATTTATAAGTTTAGTTAATAAATTATCGTACACGCGACTAAAAAGAATGGAACGATATTTCAGCCGGTAATTTTCGAAGCAAAACTCTCTTTTGTGCATGTTCTCCCTTTCTCTGTCAAGAGCATGGCGAGGCACGCCCGTGTCGTACGTGTACATATGCTCGCGAGTGGCCGTTAGCGGTTGAACACAAACGCGTCCCGTATCACGATTCACGACAGAATACGAGTAGAACATCAATGAATTGTGATACATAATGACAGACGGAGTCGAATACGCTTTCGTATTATTTCCAAACGAATTATTAACCTAATCTTGACGCGTGCACCGAAACGAGAATTGGAATAATTTTGCAAATTGTACATAACCTTCAAAAGTAAAGTGATTAGATCAGAAGTAATGTACGTGTATCGTACATTGAAAATAGCAGTAACGTGTATCCAAAGTACACTGTTACTTTGCGCATGCGCATCGACATTTTCATAGATATTTAAAAAGATTGACTTGTAATTGACTCGCAACTGTCAGTTGTGTTTGAATAATGTAACATTAACGCGAGTAATAATGTCTCGACGCAGTATCCGAATCGTATATTTATCAAGTACGTTAATTATTTCCAGCGACTGTTGGAGCGAAGACCGAGCAGCGAGTAATGCATCGATCTTCGAACCTGTACGAGCAAGAGAGATCGCGAAGAGCAAAAAACAACGACTTGGAATGTGTGAATGAATTATTTATAAAGAACAGAAAGTAAAGAAGATGACGAACCCGAGTGGCATAATTCTCGATTCTCGTGAACGCAAACGTAGATGCGCGTGAATTTTTTTTTCTTTTTTTTTCGTAAAAACAGAACAAAAAGATCGACAATAAAGAACGATCATTCTCAAAGCAACTCCGTAGTAATTACTAATAAATCCGTCAAATCGTAAAATAAGCAATCTCGGCGCAATAACGAAAGTCACTGCAAGTTCACACATGCACACACATCAGCTACACTATCACGTTTGTAGCTGACGTTCGGAGCATTGAAATCGGAGCATTCAACGTAAAAATTCAATAAGATCATATGTTCGACGAAAGCACATCACGGACGTTATTTAATAAAAATAAAAAAAAAATAAAAAAACGTAAGATCGATGTGTATTATAATATTAAAAAAAAAATATAATACGTAGAATGACTATATTATAGACTGTATAGACTTATACAGAATATAAAAAAATCGTTAAATTCTAAATTTCTTTAAGATAACGAAATTAGGCGTCGTAGAGAGATGACAAAATTACTGTCATATATCGTCGTACCGGTATTCGTCGAAGATATGAGAAAGGAAGCGAAGAAGCACGATGAGTAGATACCCGGGTCGAGTATGACGAGAAAGGAGGGGATACACCAAAGGAGAGAAGAACGTCGCCCGCGGCTAGCAACCGCAAAGGCAAAACTCCTGTGAGTGGTTTGCCACCGTGAACTGGTTTTGGGGGGTATCCTCGTTACGCGTTGGCGAAAACAACGGATCCGACGTATACATTAATCGTTGCCGTCTGATATATCCGCGCGTATATCGCGGAAGAATGAAAAATGATAGAAACAAATAGGGCAAAGCAGAAAAAGAAGTAGTCAATAGGCTTACCCAGAGTTCTGTACCCCAGCTCATGTTTGCTGGGCCGGGTAAACCAGGCACAAGCAGACTCGTCTCACCCTCGCACTTCACATGTAGCGTCGCAATCCAAGAAACACCTTTCGTATACCGAACACGCACCAAAAACGCATGAAAAATCACGCGTTAGACCCACCGCGCACGGTCACTAAAATATCTCCAACATGTCGGCCCGTAACCACTGACTGGCTGGACCCGACTGTCCATCAAAAACCGCCCAGAATTCCGCCGTAGCGCGCTCTATCGAACTTCTCAGATATAAATCAGACACTAAGTGGGGAAACCTCTACCATTTGTCGAATATATATTGGCGGGTATATTTCAAATGCTTGTGATGATAGTGACGCGCAACGTTGCACGACATTCACTGAAAATTGGTATATTACTTGAGCTCGTGAGATTGTTATTACGTATATTTGTTCATTCTTGAAAGAAATAACAGGTCTATATATATAATGAACAGTTTATACGTTCCTCCCGGAATAAAGGAAAATCTTTTCAAGCATCTTAAATCTTCTTTCTCTTCACTCTCTCTGTCGTGGAAGATAAAATGTTTAGTATTTTAGAAATACCATCTTATCTTCTTACATTTTAAGTTAATTTGTAATATATTGTTTGAAAAACGAAGATTTGCTAAATTTTAACATCAATATTTTGGTTCTAGAAGTATGGAAATTATATAAAACATAAACATTATCGCAAATATACACGAGAACGACTTTCGTCCTTAAAATGTTTAATAGTAGTTGTATAAAATTAATTGCAATTGAAATACAATAAAAAACGAAACTATAAGCTTATAAGTTGCAAGCTTGTAAATTGACTAAAATGGCGCTGGATGACTCGAGCGAAGTATCAAAGGTCATTAATTCATTGTAGATAAGTAATTTTTTATAGGGCAAGAACATTGTTTTAATTCATTTACCTCGTGCTTTCGTTGCCTTTCACTTATGGATTTGTGACGCAGTTTTTGTTTGACATTCTACTATACTTTGATGGAAGAAATGAATACTCACTATGGAGGTTGTGTATTTGTTATACATATTCATAATTTTGTAAATATTTGGGCTATTTGTTGACATATAAGATCAATTTATACAAAGTATTTTTATAACAATCGATTTCAATATCATAAATATTATTAAATGAAACTAATTATTCACGAACTAATTATTTTTTTTTTGTAGGTGGTAGAATTATTCAATAAATATAATGAAAGTTTGGGTTCTTATTTATTTTCAAGATGGATTGGCAAATTAATTGCAGAATACCAAATATCAAAGACTCTGTTTATAGTCATAGTATCAATTCTTGTAATTTTATTGATTGCATCTATAATCATTCTTCGAAAATGGAAGAACAAAGAATTCCTTCCAGAAGTGAAAGAATTTGTTGGGGTAGGCACAGGCAAACCCAGATTCAGAAAAAGAGACAAGGTACTCTTCTATGGAAGAAAAATGTTACGCAAAGTGAAATCCATCAGCGGACAAGTACATGGAACCGGACAAGGAAAGAAAAGAAAAGCTGTTATGAGATTTGCACGAAGACTTTTGCAATTAAAAAAAGAGACAGCACCATTACAATTAAAAGTATATAAATTTCAATTCTGTTATTTCTTTTATTTACAGTCCTTATATTTCCATGTATTTATTATATATATTTTATTTTTGTAATACATATTTTCATAGGTTTTAGAGCCACCTGCTGAATATCTAGAAGAAGACTTAGGTCCTGGAGAGAAAGTACCACCTGATGCTTTATATATGTTACAAAGTATCAGAGTATTTGGTCATTTTGAAAAACCAGTATTTCTTAAATTATGCAAACACACAGAGATTATGAATTTACCAGCTGGAAGCACTTTATTTAAAATCGGAGATCCAGATGAAAATTTATTTATTGTACAACAAGGCTTAGTTAATGTTTATATCACAGGACCTGATGGTTCTCAAATATCGTTAAAATTAGTAAAAACGGGAGAATCAGTAACTAGTCTTCTTAGCTTCACAGATGTACTTACTGGGCATACAAGTACCTATAAAACAGTATCAGCTAAAACTGTGGAGGATTCTATAGTAGTCAAGTTACCAATGAATGCATTTCAAGAGGTACAATTAAATTATAAATTATAAATTAAAACAAATTATTCTTACCATTTTTAAATCTTGTAGGTTTTTCAAGATCATCCTGATGCATTTGTTCGAGTTATCCAGGTCATTATGGTCCGCCTTCAAAGAGTCACTTTCACCGCTTTACATCAATATCTTGGTTTATCTGCAGAATTAGTTAATCAAGGATCACACAAAAAAAAACAAAGTCCATTTTCTGGATCTCCAGTTAGATCAAGAACTAAAGAAACTTTTTCAGTTCAAAATATAGAAAATCAATCCAATACATCTGCAACTGTTTCATCAGAACACGATAAAAATGAAATGTTTCATCGCGATTCTACGTTAAGTAGTCATCAAAGTATACCTATTGTTATAAATCGACGGTAAGTTTAACAAAAAAATGATACAAAATATAAAATACATTGTTATTAATATTTGTTTCATATTAGGCCAAAAACTAATCTTGATTGGAAAAATCAAAATTTAAGTCCACAATCAGGTCAAAACATAGCAGACATGGTACCAGAATGTGATTCTCATTGGCCAAATTCTTCGTCTATGACGTCACAACAAGGATCACAACCAGATGTAATACATACAGGAAATTCACATTCAAGCAAAAAAAAATCTACTACTGAACCAATTCAACAACAATTAGATGAAGCACATCTTGTGCAGATAGCAACAGAAGCATTCGTTCGGGAACTTGGTTTAGAAGATGATTCAATACTTAGAGATGGTAAAGTTCAAATCAGAGAAGTACCCGCTGGGACATATTTGATGAAGGAAGAATCTCATAAGGTTAACATTTCTATAATATTGTTATTAATTATTTATAAAAATATATATTTATTTTTCCTAATTTTTTTTTCTTTATCTCTAGGATGTTGCACTTGTCTATGTTGTATCTGGTTCATTAATAGTCAGTCAACGCGTTTCAGAAAGTAGAGATATGGGTCAAGAGGTACACATGTTTAGTGCTCATCAAGGTGAAATTGTTGGTGGTCTAGCTGTATTGACTGGAGAACCTTCTTTTTATACTATTAGAGCAAAGCATTCTAGTCGCATAGCACTTTTAAGTAAATCAACATTTTTCGCTATTATGCGAGAACAACCAACTGTTGTGTTACACGTTGCTCATTCAGTTGTTCGAAGACTTAGTCCTTTCGTAAGACAGGTAAAATATTATACAGATTAAAATATTAAAAATATTTATTTCACTAACTAGTGCTAATCATTTAATTTATTTTTTCAAAGGTTGATTTTGCACTTGACTGGTTATTTCTTGAAAGTGGAAGAGCAGTGTATCGACAAGGAGATGAATCAGATTCAACATTTATTGTATTAAGTGGTCGACTTCGGTCGGTAATCACGTATAAAAATGGGAAAAAAGAAATCGTTGCAGAATACGGAAAAGGTGATCTTGTGGGTATTGTAGAAATGGTTACACAAACGCCACGATCAACAACAGTGATGGCAGTACGAGATTCTGAATTAGCAAAACTTCCGGAAGGATTATTTAATGTTATTAAACTTCGTTATCCAATAGTAGTTACAAGACTTATAAATTTACTTGGACATCGTATTCTTGGCACCTGGCAACAAGCACACACAAAAAATGGCAGTAGTGATACACAGTACATATCTAGAATGTTTTATCTACACTATTCATATTATAATTAATAATTTTTTTTCTCTAATTTGAATTCACCTTATATAAACGTATTTATAGACGGGCCGCTGCAACAGTTGATGCAAGACCAGCTCAAGTAAATTTTTCAACTGTTGCAATAGTTCCAGTATCCGACGATGTCCCATTAACAGCATTTACGTATGAACTTTATCATTCACTATGTGCTATTGGACCATGTTTACGCCTTACCTCTGATGTAGTTCGAAAAGTAAGTGTAGTTAATGCAAAAAATATATCTAATCACAGTACAAGTAATGAAGTTTTACAGAATATTTGTATTTTTGTTTAATTATTAGACGTTAGGTAGTACCATAATGGAACCTGCAAATGAATATCGTCTAACGTCGTGGCTTGCGCAACAAGAGGATCAACACCGAATTTCATTATATCAATGCGATTCAACATACACATTGTGGACTCAACGATGTGTTCGACAAGCTGACTGTATTCTTATTGTAGGTTTAGGAGATAAGCCTCCATCTATAGGTAGAACTGAACGCGAAGTTGAACGTTTAGTAATGAGAACGCAAAAAGAATTAGTACTTTTACATAAAGAACAAAGTGGACAGCGACCTACGAATACGGTGCAGTGGTTAAATATGAGATCTTGGGTTTCTAGTCATCACCATATTCAATGTCCTAAACGAATGTTTACAAGAAGATCTCAATATAGAATTGTAAGATATAAAAAATTAAAATCCAATATCCAAATGTTTTATTTTTATAATGTATTTAATTTAGCATTCCATTATGTCTACATAAATAATTTGTAATTTTTTTCAGAATGAATTGTATTCCAAAGTTCTGATGTCTGAGCCAAACATACATAGTGATTTCAGTAGACTTGCTCGTTGGCTAACTGGAACTTCAGTTGGACTTGTACTTGGAGGTGGAGGTGCTAGAGGTGCAGCTCATGTAGGGATGCTTAAAGCAGTTATCGAAGCCGGTATACCCATAGATATGGTTGGCGGAGTTAGTATTGGAGCTTTTATGGGTGCTCTATGGTGTATGGAAAA